TGACAGTTTATTCAGTTTTCCCACAGTCTGAACTTTACTGATTACATTTCTGTAGTGGTATTTAATATGTTCCTCTGTTAATGTTAGTTTCCTGAAAGTTTATACAGTTTTCCCTTGGTATCCATGGGGGATTGGTTCCAGGACCTCCACGCATACCAAAATCCATGGACGCTCAAGTCCCTTATATAAAATGTCATATTTGCATATAACCTATGCATATCCTCTTGTATACTTTAAATCATGTCAGATTACTTATAATACCTAATACAATGTAAATGCTATATAAATAGTTGCTTGAGCCTGGCAAATTGAACTGCCTTTTGGAACTTTCTGGAATTTTTTTCTGAATATTTTCAATCAGTGGTTGGTTGACTCTGGATGCAGAACCCATGAGTATAGAGGGACAACTGTACTTAGAGGCTTGATTGGTTTTAAATTTCATTATTTGTTAAAACTAGTTTAGAGATGGTATTTATTTACCTATTACATGGCATTGGGAGGCACATAATACCTGCTTCTTTGTTTTTTTGTTGTAAGATTTGGGTGTTGTCTGCCTGATACATCCATTGTGAAATTTGCTGCCAGCTTTTACTAGTTTTAGTAGCCATCAGTCTTTACCTACAGCCACTATTTTATGAAATGTAGTAAAAATAGTGATACCTCATTCCTTCATTTATTAGCTATAATTTTTTCATAAGGAGCTTTCCTCAACAAGCAGTTGGTTCATATACAAAAGGTAGGATAAACTATTGATTCTTGAACTTATTCAGTGTTCAGAATGAATAAATTCCCTAGCATCCTCCAGAGGTTGGTCAGTGAGATTTTTACTAAGTCTCATTATGAGCTAATGGATTTTAATACTTGTTTTACTCTAGCTCAGTTCTTTTTGGTGCCCAAATTGTCTCATCTCTGGCCTGTGGAGGCTCCTTCAGGTTGAACCTGACATAATGAGGGTTTCTTTGCATTCAGGTACAATAGGAAGTCCCAAGCTCTTCTGTTTCCTGCCCAGGCCTGGATTCAGCCATTTCTTTAAGGAGCCCTAGTTCTTTTTGTAAGAGCGTATAGTCAGCTGTTCATTGATACTTGTTTTGATCATGTTTCTAGGTCATAACATTGGAAACAGCTAGGAAATGTTTGTATTGATATTTCCAATTAATTTTAGAGTTGAGGGATTATCATTTAATATCCTTAATCTCTTATTTTTTCTCTTACCTTGAAAATCACGGTTTCTATTAATGTCACCACTGACTTGTTTTATTTTACTCATAAGATGGTTTCAGACTAACAGTACCAATATTGCAAACAATATGATTAGTGAAAAGTTGGTATGTTTTTTACTTTGTCCTTAGTAAACGGATATAACCCCATTAATAATGTATAGTTAGTGTATTTTCAAGTCACTTGTAATGGTATTTCTCAGTAGTTAAGTCACTTTTTTTATTTTGCTTTTGGTTTTTAGGGATTTCTCACATTTTGTAAATTCTGTTTTTATAATCAAGTGAAACATTAAACGATCCTATAGGTAAAACTTCAAAACAAGTACATTAAGAAAAAGTGTCCATCTTGGTTCCTTCTACCTTATTTCTTACCTCTTTTTGTAGTAACTAAATGAGTTTTTGTTTATCCTTCTGTCTCAAAATATATGTATGTATGTGTGATTATTTGTATACTCACAAATACATACTACACACTTATATATGTACAAGTACGTATTTCCACACACACTCATTAGGTAGAAAGCACACATAAATGCTGTTTGCATCTTGGTCTTTTTTTTAGTTAATGTCTCTCCATAGCAGATGTCATATTCCTTTTTACAGGAGAATAATATTCCATTATATAATTGTATCATATAGTAAGTAGTTTCCTATTATGGACATTTGATTATTTCTAGTCCTGCTCTTACAGATAGTGCAGCTATAAATAGCCTTGTGTATGTGTCTTTTCCTGGGGTTTTATGTACTTAACGTTTGGGATACATTCCTAGAAGTGGAATTCCTGGATCAAAAGGTAAATATATAGGCAATTTTGCTGTGTATTGCCAAATTCCCTTCTACAAGGAGACAGTACCACTTTGTATTCCTATCAGCAATGTAAGAATGCCTGTTTTCCCACAGCCTATGAACAAATTGTTATCAGATGTCACAAAATGTTTTAAGCAGATCTGTGTTTTAGAATCTTTGGCAAAAGTATAATGGAGTCTAAGGTGTAATCCTAAAGACAGGGAGTTGTGTTAGCCTTGACAGTAGTCTCAGAGAAATGCAGGCCTTCACTAAGGGTACAGTTCCATTAAATAAGTGTTAACAGTATATAGCATAAGGAGGACTTAGTAACTGGATGGAGGAATTGGGGATAACTCCAGTTTCTGGGAGTATGATGCTGATGCTCAATATTCTCTAAATTTTCAGATTATGGGATGGGGGAATTTCTTGAATTTGAGGTGCTCCTGAGACATACGTGTTAGAGATGTAGTTGGATATGTGAATCTGAAGAGAGAATTTTGGGTTAGAACAGAGCTTCTGAGTCATCACTCTATGTGATGTTAAGATATGTGTAGATGAAGATGCCCAAGAAAAGAATAATAGTGATATTTGAGTCTGGGCGTGTTCTTGACTTTGGTAAAAGTAGTTTTTGGGTCCCTTCTATATCTTTTTATACAGCAACTGACTTATCATCTCTGGGTAGCATTAGAAAAAGTATACTTCACTTTCATGACTTTTACACACTTACTGTATACATAAAGATGATGTATTCATATGTTCTAATTCTTTAATTCTGAAATCATACTTAGTTTCAGGGCAAACAGCTTAAATTCCTTTGCTCTGATGTAGGCAATGATTTATTTTAACTCATCTCCAATAAACATGATTTTAAAAGTTTGTTACAAATATTTCCATTCATGGTATCTAATTTTGGCAATCATAGGTAAATGGAGAGCTTTTTACCAGTGAAATACACTTTTTTACTGTGTTAATCATACAGGGATATATGATAATGTCATGATGTAAAAATCACAATACATCTGAGAAAAGGATCTCATCTAAAAGAATAGTTTTCTATCCTTTATGGCCTTAAGAATATTTAATCAGGAAACAAATTCACAACTTTAGATTTAGAAAAGCCCTAAAATATCTAGTTACAAGTCTTCTCCATTTTAGTTCTCAGAACAGCCATATGAGGTAGTTACCATTAGGTACGTTTTACACATGAGAGGTAGTCATATGTAAACTAAACACATGTAAAACAACGAAGTTTAGTAACTTTCCCAAGGATACACGGTAGTAGGAAGCTAAAATGGAATTTAAACCCAGGCAGGTTGAAAATAGAACATATTTTGAGTGAAGAGACCAGTATGATAAAGGATTCAAAACCTTATGTAAGTTGAAGGAAATTCACTTGAAATGTTTTATACTTAGAAGATAGAGGAGGGCAGGTGACAGACTTAGACTGTCAAGGATTAGGTCTTTCGTGGAGAGAGTATATAGATTTCTTCATGGCACTTAAGCTATGGAACTCATTCTGTGTTTATCTTTGATCCAGTATCAAGTATATTCTCTTTCCTATGTCAGAGCTATGTGAAGACAGAATGGTTTTTCTTAGGGTTAAAGCTGGCCTCTCATCACTTAGCATCCGAGCAGAGGTTGCATGGTTATTTGGGAGGCTTGTGGTAAAGGGGAATTATAGTACTGAGAGGGTAAATGGACCAGATCGTTTCTGAGGCCGCTTGCTAATCCTGAGATTTTTCTTTCCCCAATTAACTAAAGTTTGAAGAAACTTGATTAAAATTCTACCCAGGGTTAATATCCATTTATTATAAATGAGTTAGATATACTGTGAGGGTCCTAGACCTGTATAGTACTTGTTTGATTTAGAAGAGCCAAGGCTAGCTGCTAGAGCTGCTTCCAACTTGAGGCCCACTTAAATTTTGAGTAGGCCGCTCAGTTGGTTAAGGGTTAATGGTTTCTTCCCTTAGTTTTCTACATTGTTAATGCTGTCACAGAACCGTATGATATTTAACTATTCTTGTGTTTCTGCAGCACAGTAGCTTATCAAACTTGAGTATGCTTGAGAATTTCTGAGAAGATTTGTGAAAATAGATCACTGGGCCTCACTCCCGGCGTTTCTGAGTCAGATCAGAAGTGGAGCCTAAGAGTCTGCATTTATAGCATGTTCACAGATGGAACCACCGGTTTGAGAACCACTGCTATAGTAGTTTGGCCTTTCTCAGTAGATTGAGTTTTCCAAGAGCAGGAACCAGATATTACTCATTTCTTTTAGCAAGCAATACATAAAGGCAACAGATCTTAATTTTATAGAAACCATTATGGACTGTTACATTGCTGTTTTGGGCCTATGGATACCAGATGTTAGGCCAAAAAGTAAAGCTTTAAGTTTGGGTCAGGTTTAGGTTTGTTAAGTTTACATTTAGAAATTCAAGTAAGATCAAGATTCTGCTAGATTTCTTTCACATGGTTCTACTTTCTGATACATACAAAATTCCAGGATTTTTTGCTCTTGTTTTTTCATTTTGCCATTACTAGGCAGCTAGCTACATGTAAGAACTGAAATCTTATCTTTCTCTTTCTGGAAAAATGGAGGCCATTGAAAATCTACTAGGTTTATGTTCTTATTATGCGTAAAGCAAATTGCAGAACTTGATGAACTGGTTCCAAGTTCAGGAGGAGGTCAGCATCTAGTCTTATTAAAGTAATTTTTAAACATGGGTTAAGAAAATGTGGAAAAGAGGAACTTGGGTTTTTTACTTACCCTACTCTTTATTCCCTATCACCACCACCATCCCCAAGCTAGCAAAGAATGACTTACTAAGATTTTAGCAAGACTTGTTTATTCTGGCAGTTAAAATCAGGGATAAATATCATTTACTTTAAGTGCCATTAAGAATAATATGATTAGGTTTTTATACATGTTGCATATAATTTTAGTCTTCCTTGGTGATAATCATAAGCAGTGTTCTGTGATTCTTTTTTCTCTATTCTCAGGTATCCGGAAAGTGGTACTGTAGAAATAAATGTCAAGGATCTTCGACCACGAGCTAGAACCACTTTGAAATGGAACGAACTAAATGTCGGTGATGTGGTAATGGTTAATTACAATGTAGAAAGTCCTAGTAATAGAGGATTTTGGTTTGATGCAGAAATTACCACACTGAAGATGATCTCAAGGACCAAAAAAGAACTTCGTGTGACTGTTTTCTTGGGGTAAGATTCTCTTCACTGATGCCATTTAATTACTGAATTGAGTGTAATTTTTAGGTATTAAACACACGTTCTTTAGTAAAAAGAAAAAAAAAGATGGAATCTATGAAAGATGGAAATTTCCATACTAGAAGAAAACTTAATAAATTCTTGAGAATTTTTTATTAAGAATGGCCCTTAAATCTCCATTGTTACTTTAAGGCTGGAGGTATTATTTGAAAGCACTTTGGAAATAATTGAATATCTTATTAGAGAAATTCTTGCCTACCCCACAGGATTCTCCTAGGTTAAACCAATAATATACAAAAGCATTTCAATAGCTATGGTTGCTATGAGGATCTATGTTGATATAACACCAGTGAATGTCTACCTAGGCAGCTGTCTGCTGGACTTGCAAGGTAGCAAAAATTTTCTTTTATAGTAATTTAAGAACTTAAAACAAGCTTAATGAAGAGAATTCAAAATGTAAAATGTCACCCAAGATTTCACATTACTCAGATATTTCCATTGTTAATTCTTTAAGAAGTACTTTTAGATGTTTCCTTCAGGTGATAAAGTACTATGCATTGTTTCAAAGCTACCTTTTTACACTTGGGGAAATAGTAAACATCGTTTTGTGTTCAGTTCTTCTGAATGAAGTGTATTGGATAAATAGTCACTAATTTACTTTTTTAAAAAGGCTGTTAAAAGTATTTCCAGTTCTTTATTACAATGTTTAAGTAAACAACTTTGTGTATATGTTTTTGTGCATTTCTTTTCTTTAGAATGAATTATTAGAAGTACATTTGTTGTGTTGAGCATTGGGGATACTAGAAAGACCCTGACAGTTTTCTTTTACTTAAGGGAAGCAGCCAAACTAACATTTCTTGTCAAGTTCTGGTTAACTGATTATATATATTATGTATTATATATAATGGACATATATTATCATATCTGTTATAACATGGAGGTGACAAATCTAAGATCAAGCATCTGCTTATGATTAATAATATAAAGCAGGGGTTGGTAAACTATGTCCCACTGGCTACCTGTTTTATGAAAATAAAGTTTTGTTGGAACACAGTGATCCCCATTTATGTATTGGCCATGGCTGGTTTTTTGTGTGTGTGCTCAACAGCATTGTTGAGTGGTTGCACATGAGGCTTACAGAATCTTGAACTACTTACTCTCTGACCCTTCATGGGAAAAGTTTGCTGACTCCTAAGATAAAGAAAAAGAATATTGTGAGCTTATCTTTTAGAAAACAGTTTCAGAAATTTGTACAAACACAAGTGTGATTCTATTGCCAGGCTAAGGACGTAACAATTAACAGAGTTCTAAGCAACTTGAAATTCTGATATGGATACATATCATGAAGGAAAGGAGAAAGCATCTACATAAATTAGTTATCTAGGGACTCTTATAATGTTCTTGAGTGTAGGAAGTGGAAAGAAGCATGTTTACACAATGGGAAGAGATAACAGTACTCATAACATTGAGCTAAAAAAGCTTGCTATTTAAAACATGTTTTCCTGAGTAATTATGAGGTACAGTTAGAGTGGAGCATTCTGGCTTTAGGGACTAGAACTAAGATTGAGTGAAAGTAATAGATAGGCAAATATTGGCTCATGAGAAAACGATTATATGATGGCTATCCCAAAGTAAAACACACTGTCCTATAAAGGATTATGTTTGCTGTCATTTAGGTTTTTACTAGACATGTTAGGGATACAAGAGTCAAAAAGGAGTCACTGTGGCTTGTGGATGGGAATTTTTTTTCATTGTTAGAAATCTTTTCCCTTCACTGGAAAGAATGGATAAATAACCAGAGGGAAAGTATAAATATATTCTGCTGTTGATAGTTTGGGGCTGTTACAAGCAGTGCTGCCATGACATTATACCTCTGTCCTGGTGCTTATGTGCGTTAGTTTCTGTAGGATGTGTCTTGTCTAGAAGTAGAATTGCTGGGTTGTAGAAGTTGTGCATCTTTAACTTTAATAGATAGGACCAAATATTTAAGTGGTTGTACCAGATTGCACTTCCACAGTAGTATGAGAGTTCCCATTGCTCTGCATTCTTAACCACACTTATTTTGTCAGGCTTGAGTTTTTGCTAGTCAGGTGGGTATATAATAGTATTCCATTGTGGCTTTGATTTACATTTCCCTGACTATTAATGAGATTGAGAACCGTTATGTTTATTGGCAATTTGGATATATCTTGTAAGGATCCTGTTTCAAATATTGGTGTGTGTTGTTGTAGCTAATTAGGTAGTCTGTCTCACTGATTTTTAGGAGTTCTAGAGAACTCCTAAAGTAGAGTAGGGACTTGACCATTTCAGTTACATGTGGAGAAAATGTCTACTCCAATTCTGTGGCTTATCTTTTTTCCCTATGTTTGAGTAGTAGTCGTAATTTTAAGGGGTTGAATTTCTCAAAAATTTTCCCTAATGCTTATACTTTCTGTGTCTTGCTTTAAGAAACCTACTGGGGGTTGGTCAGGGTTGGGGATAGGTGAGGGTGGTCAAAAGGTACAAACTTGCAGTTATATGATATATAAGTTCTAGGGATGTAATATACAGCATGGCAACTATAGTTAACAATACTGTACTGTATATTTGAAAGCTGCTTAGAGAGTAGATCTTTAAAGTTTTCATCACAAGGGAAAAAATATTGTAAATGTGAGGTGATGGATGTTAACTAAACTTTTTGTGGTAATCATTGTCAATATATACATATATCAAATCATTATGTTGTATACCTTGAACTTATACAATGGTATGTCAATTATATCTCAATAAAACATAGAGTGGGGTGGAGGGGAGAAACTTTACTCAGAAAACATAAAGATATTCTCCATTATTACCTTATAAAAGCTTAATATTTACCTTTTTTAGATCTTTAATCCACTTGAAGTAGGTCTTTTTGTACAGTGTGAGGTAAGGGTTAGACTTAATACATATGAATAATCATTTTTCCTGGTATCATTTATTGAAAAGCCCATTTTCCCCTCATTGATCTTCAATATCACCTCATCACATATCTTTTTGTGTGTGTGTGTGTGTGTGTGTGGTACACGGACCTCTCACTATTGTGGCCTCTCCCATTGCGGGGCACAGGCTCTGGACGTGCAGGCCCAGCAGCCATGGCTCACAGGCCCAGCCGCTCCACGGCATGTGGGATCTTCCCAGACCGGGGCACAAACCCTTGTCCCCTGCATCGGCAGGTGGACTCTCAACCACTGTGCCTCCAGGGAAGCCCCACATATCTTTATATTTGATGCATCCATCTGGTCTCTATTCTGTATCATTGGTCTGTTTTGAGTGTCCTTATATAAGTTCCATGCTTTCATAATATGACAGAGCAGGTCTTCTACCTTGTGCTTCAATAGTTCTTCTCTGTTCTTAGCTCTGTGTAATTTCATTCGGGTTTTCTAGTCATTTTGGTAATTTCTACATAAAAACCATTGGGAATTTGATAGGTACTCCATTAAATGTAATCCATGGGTGTGATTTCTCTCCATTTACTTAGGTCTTTATTATGATTTTTGTCATGTTTTTATTAGGTGGAACCATATGAAATGTTTTTATAGATTCAAAATATTTGAATGTTGGCCATTATATGGTTCAGCCTTATATAATTCTCTCCAGAGGTCTGATCTTATGTGTCTGTTATCCTTATTTAACCTCAGATACCACTTGTTATTATAAATCCTTTTTCAATTTCATTTTTCTCTTTGTTACTGGTATATAAGTAACCTTTGATTTTGGATCCATTAGCCTTACTAGAGTTAATAATTTTAATTCACATGTAGATTGTTTCAGGATTTTTATAATTGTAATCTGTGAATTATGACATTTTTGTGTTGTAGTTTTCCTTTGATTGCTAACTCTTGTCTTCATTCACCAGTTGCCTGTTAGTACATTGCTGAAAGGAGGTGGTGAGAGCAGGCATCTTTTTTTTCTCCTGATATCTCTTTGAAAGTTTTACCAATAATTATAATGTTTGACAGGTATTTTGTAGGTATGCTTTCCTGGACTTGGTTTGACAATATTTTGTATAGGATTTTTGCATTTAGGTTAATGAGTGAAATTTGTATATTAACTTTCCTATCTTAGCTATCCTTTCCAAATTATGTTGGTTTTATAAAATTATCGTGTGCTGTAATATTTTTCTATTTTATGGTAGAGTTTTGTGTCCTTTGCTTGAATGTTAAAACTTCTCAGTAAAGTCCTTTGGGGCTGAGTTTTTGTGGGAAGGTTTTTTGATTTCTGTAATGATTATAGAGCTATTCAGATTTTCTATTCTTGAAATAGGATTTAATTTTCTAGGAACCTATTTTAATTTTAGTTTATTGTCATAAGTTTGGATAGCCTCATCTTTTAACCTGTATAGTCTTTGTTAATGTTGTTCCCTTTTTCATTCCTGAGTTTAGTTTGTGATTTAATCTCACCAAAGGTTTATCAGTTTTACTATACATTTACAAAGAACTAACCTTCATCTTTGATACTCTCTATTGTATTGAAAGTGCAATGGAAGAAGCAAATAGAGGACATGATTTTTAATCTGCCTCGGAGATTTGATAAGGGAACTGGGAGTTAAAGTTCATGCTTGTTCCTAATTTTTAGTTTGTGAGTAGCAAAAAGTGAATATGCTTAAACTGTCTAATTCTAGTTAACAAATTCTTTTTGATTAACAACGTTGTGTTAGTTTCAGGTGTACAGCAAAGTGATTCAGTTATACATATACAAGTATCTATTCTCTTTCAAATTCTTTTCCCATTTAGGTTATTGCAGATTATTGAGCAGAGTGCCCTGTGCTATATAGTAGGTCCTTGCTGGTTATCTGTTTTAAATATAGCAGCATGTACATGTCAATCCCAAACTCCCAATCTATCCCTCCCTCCACCCTTCCCCCCTGGGAAGTTCATTCTCTAAGTCTGTGAGTCTATTTCTGTTTTGTAAATAAGTTCATTTGTATCATTTTTTTTTAGATTCCACATATAAGTTATATCATTTGGTATTTG